ACCGCTGTGCGCGTTGCGGTCGCCTTCCTTACCGCTGTGCGCGTTGCGGTCGCCTTCCTTACCGCTGTGCGCGTTGCGGTCGCCTTCCTTACCGCTGTGCGCGTTGCGGTCGCCTTCCTTACCGCTGTGCGCGTTGCGGTCGCCTTCCTTACCGCTGTGCGCGTTGCGGTCGCCTTCCTTACCGCTGTGCGCGTTGCGGTCGCCTTCCTTACCGCTGTGCGCGTTGCGGTCGCCTTCCTTACCGCTGTGCGCGTTGCGGTCGCCTTCCTTACCGCTGTGCGCGTTGCGGTCGCCTTCCTTACCGCTGTGCGCGTTGCGGTCGCCTTCCTTACCGCTGTGCGCGTTGCGGTCGCCTTCCTTAGCGCTGTGCGCGTTGCGGTCGCCTTCCTTAGCGCTGTGCGCGTTGCGGTCGCCTTCCTTAGCGCTGTGCGCGTTGCGGTCGCCTTCCTTAGCGCTGTGCGCGTTGCGGTCGCCTTCCTTAGCGCTGTGCGCGTTGCGGTCGCCTTCCTTAGCGCTGTGCGCGTTGCGGTCGCCTTCCTTAGCGCTGTGCGCGTTGCGGTCGCCTTCTTCTTAGCGCTGTGCGCGTTGCGGTCGCCTTCCTTAGCGCTGTGCGCGTTGCGGTCGCCTTCCTTAGCGCTGTGCGCGTTGCGGTCGCCTTCCTTAGCGCTGTGCGCGTTGCGGTCGCCTTCCTTAGCGCTGTGCGCGTTGCGGTCGCCTTCCTTAGCGCTGTGCGCGTTGCGGTCGCCTTCCTTAGCGCTGTGCGCGTTGCGGTCGCCTTCCTTAGCGCTGTGCGCGTTGCGGTCGCCTTCCTTAGCGCTGTGCGCGTTGCGGTCGCCTTCCTTAGCGCTGTGCGCCTTGCGGTCGCCTTCCTTAGCGCTGTGCGCCTTGCGGTCGCCTTCCTTAGCGCTGTGCGCCTTGCGGTCGCCTTCCTTAGCGCTGTGCGCCTTGCGGTCGCCTTCCTTAGCGCTGTGCGCCTTGCGGTCGCCTTCCTTAGCGCTGTGCGCCTTGCGGTCGCCTTCCTTAGCGCTGTGCGCCTTGCGGTCGCCTTCCTTACCGCTGTGCGCCTTGCGGTCGCCTTCCTTAGCGCTGTGCGCCTTGCGGTCGCCTTCCTTAGCGCTGTGCGCCTTGCGGTCGCCTTCCTTAGCGCTGTGCGCCTTGCGGTCGCCTTCCTTAGCGCTGTGCGCCTTGCGGTCGCCTTCCTTACCGCTGTGCGCCTTGCGGTCGCCTTCCTTACCGCTGTGCGCCTTGCGGTCGCCTTCCTTAGCGCTGTGCGCCTTGCGGTCGCCTTCCTTAGCGCTGTGCGCGTTGCGGTCGCCTTCCTTAGCGCTGTGCGCGTTGCGGTCGCCTTCCTTAGCGCTGTGCGCGTTGCGGTCGCCTTCTTTACCGCTCTGCGCGTTGCGGTCGCCTTCTTTACCGCTCTGCGCGTTGCGGTCGCCTTCATTATTGCTCCATACTTTCTTCTTACCACCATGCTTGCTCTGAATTTTCTGTGAAGCCATACTGGATGTCTGGTTTTGTATGTGCTAAAAAGCACACAAAAAAGCTTTCCAGCAAGTGTGCACAAGAATGAATAGTACTGTATAGTATGTGCTAAAAAGCTTCTCAGTACTGTAAGTGTCTTCACAGTGCACTTTCAGTGTCTGTCTGTGACTGCGATCTCACCTACAGGAAGTCAGAACAACATGTCAGAGCAGGGAAGATGGCCGTGGCTTGTGTTCGTCAACCGAAGCGGAGTTTGTGAACCAAAACAAATTTTTGCGCACTCTTCTGTATGTGAACCGAGTTGTTCGTGAACAGAAGCATTCATGAACCAAGGTATCGATGTATATGGCAGACATGTCTGCCAAGGTGTGTTTATTACCAGCTTGTCCCTTGTAGGTTGTGTGTGACACTGGCATATCCCTGGCTGTCAGATGTGTTGCCCATTACATGTGTGTTACAAGTGTGTTGTTTGTGTTACCGGTGTGTCACTTGTATGTCTGACATGTCACCAATGAGTTGTGTGTCACTGACATGTCCCTTGTCTACCATATGAGTATGTCAGATGTGTCACCCATTGTGTGTGAAACAAATGTGGCATTTGTGTGTGTTACTGGTGCATCCCTTGTCTGTCTGGTATTCCACCCATCGGTTGTGTGTGTCAGATATACCACCCATCCTCTCTATATATATTAGTATTACGGCATGTTGGCTGTGTGTGTGTCACGGACATGTCTCTGTCATGTGTATGTCAGACATGTCACCCGCTGTGTGTATTATTTGTGTACTCTTCATCTCTCACAAGTGTCACCCGTTGCGCGCGCGCGTGTGTGTGTGTGCGTACGTGTGTGTGTGCGTGCGTGTATGTATATATATGTGTGTGTGTGTGTGTGTGTGTATATGTATGTGTGTGTGTATGTATATTAGTGGCACGTTCTTTGTCTATTGCATGTTGGTCAGGAATGTCAGCTATCAGTCATGTCCCTTGTCCCTCACATGTGTATGTCAGACATATCCCCCATTGTGTGTTGTTATGGTGTGTCGGGTGTGTGTGACTGACTGACATGCGGCACTGACACAACGTGAGGGACATGGCGGCAGCAGGTGAGTGGATGCCCGCTAACAGGCACTTCCATGATGGATTTAAAATGACAGGTGCTCTTTAAATGTAAGCAATCTGACTCATTCTTGCTGGTAGTTAGTCATTTATATTTGCAAACCAAATGAAGGTTTCCTTTTTAAAATAATAAGCTGTCAGGTTAGTAAAACAGGGATGTGAAGTGAAACAAGAAGCGCACGAACCTTGCGCATTACCTCAGTAACCTAAATTTATTTAGTAAAAGAATGGTATTCACAAACAGCGAATAAAAAACAGGTATATAAGTCCTCCAAGGGACTTCAAAGGCAAGAGGCCAGCGCGAATCCCATCATGGGGGTAGCCACTCAGTACAGCTGATGCGTTTTGAAGGTCATGCCTTCTTCCTCAGAGCTGACTGGACTGAGAGTGTAGGTTCCCATTTATGCCCCCAGACTGAAATAAGGCCCTCCCTGATGGGTTGGGCTGTCCTGGGCAGGGAGGAGGGGCCCAGGTGTCAACAAAGTGCAGTAACTAGTCATCAAGATATATATAAAACAATATAAATAATAAAAATAAAATGTATATAAATGTGTAGAATAAAATAATGGTGGATTTAAAATGACAGGTGCTCTTTAAATGTAAGCAATCCGACTCATTCTTGCTGGTAGTTAGTCATTAATATTTGCAAACCAAATGAAGGTTTCCTTTATAGAATAATAAGCTGTCAGGTTAGTAAAACAGCGATATCAGAACTGATTTTAGGTTAATAGGTTCATCACACATAACTGGAGAACGACTCAAATTCTTGTATTTCATGTTTTATCTCAGTTACTGTGAAATTGTGTGAATGCATCAATGCAGTGCATGTTATCTCAGCTTGCAGAGTTTAGATTCATTGAATGAGTTTACCAAAAATATTGCAGAATATACAGCCTCATGCTACATAACTACGCTCCATTTCATGCTGAATAAACTCAATTATGTATCTTAAATAGAAAACTATCTTTAGATAGATTTTTACTTCAAAAGTGTTTTATTAAAATAAATTTGATAAAAATAAAAAAAAATTTGATTTCAATTTTTAAAGTCCGATTTTTAAATCATCAATTTTTATCGACCCTGGTCTCTTGTTTGTCCGGCATGTCGCTCATTGTGTGTATTTCTGGCATGTGTCTCACAGATGTGTAGGTCAGGCATGTCACCTATTGATCATGTGTGTATATTACCAGTGTGTCAGTTCTGTATCACCCGCGTGTCCCTCTTCTCTTGTATGTCCAGCATGTTGCTCATTACTTGGTGTATCACTCCTCAGGTGGACTATGGGATCATTAGTTGGCAAGGAAAGCGGTTTCACAGATTTTCTCACCTTTCATCCTATTCTTGGACAATATTTATTTATTTTTTTATATAGCGCCATCAATTTATGCCGAGCTTTACACATATATATTGTACATTCACATCAGTCCCTAACCCTCAAGGGGTGTACAATCTAAGGTCCCTAACTCACATTCATACATACACATACTAGGGTCGTTTTGACAGGAAACAATTCACCTACCAGCATGTCTTTGGAGTGTGGGAGGAAACTAGAGTGCCTGGAGAAAACCCACGCAGGCACAGGGAGAACATGCAAACTCCAGGCAGGTGGTGCTGTGGTTGGGATTTGAACCAATGACCCTAGTACTGCCAGGCAGAAATGCTAACCATTTAGCCAATGTGCTGCCCAATATCTGCCTTTGCACTTTCAATGGTGATTGAAGGTGACTAAAGCTGGACAAACACCTAATAGACACATGCTGGTACCTGATGAAGCGGTCAGAGTTCGAGCCCTGTGTGGCCCTATGGGCATCTTTCTATCTACAATTTGAAGGAGTTGGGTGTAAAATTGTCAGCTGAACAGCAGCTGCATCCAATTATATGCAGTCACTGTTCAGGTATTCTGTAGCCGCAGGTGCTGGCTGTCAGGGGAGATTCCTGCATCCATGCAGATTATTGTCAATGGGAAAACAAACAGGTCCCTCGCATTCAACCCACGGAGCTGAACAAGAGAAAACTCTGAGTATAAGGCCAGTTCAGGTTGCCTGTGTGGCTGGAAATGGTGGAGAATGTTCCTGACACTTGTTAGAGCTGAGGAATATACTTGGATGAGTGGTCAGACGTCTTCCACATTACAAAACAAGCCTAGCAGCATGACTACTACCTAGTATGATCTGTATCATCGAGTATTTGGTAATGGGCGAGCCAGTTTGCTCCTTGCACTCTTTTATTGAGCAAACCAACAAGTGTGCTCTTCATACAATTGTAATTGTGTCACTTTGCCGTCATTCCTCTTGCACAATAAGTTGCCTGTACTTTGCACATTCCAGGGTTTAATGCAGCATTCCAATTTACAAGGCGGCTTCTGTAGATAAAATAAATATTGTCCTTAATTTTTGCTGTTTAGATTATTACTCTGTCAGACTTGGAATGTGACTACATAAATGCTCGCTCCTGCTGCTCCAAGTTAAATAAGGTATTTGTGTATTTGCTGTCATGGGGAATGTTTTTTGCTCTGTTCTATTAGTATTCAGCCCCTTTCACAGAGTGACATTTTATACTTCTCCGCATCCTAGCAGAGCTTTCCCTGATTATTTTAAAACCAAACATGCAGAATGTTTTTCTGGTATTAAAAGGAAACTTGTCTCATACTGCCTTTCTCTGTGTCTTCAAAATATGTTTCTTGAACACAGTTAAAGCGGAACTCTAGGAAATGTATAGCACAGCTTTTACCAATGTGTCTGATGCAATGTGTCTGATGCAATGGTGCAGATCTGCATAGAAACCAATCAGCTTCCAGGTTTTATTGTGAAAGCTTCATTGAACAAGCTGAAGTTAGAAGCCGATTGGCTACCATGCACAGCTGCATCAGATTTTGCGCTCTCCAGTTTTAGTAAATTAACCCTATAGTCTCTTTAATAATGAGATAACGAAGTTGTACATGTTGTAGGTGAGAGTTCTCATTAAGCATATTCCTCACTTTTTTTTTGTTTCTTTTTTCATAGTGGATAGTGCCAGAGCTGATCGCTCATACACTGGTGACTGTGTTGATGTTGGTGTCATTGCACTGGTTCATCTTCTGTTTAAATCTTCCTGTAGCGACATGGAATATATACCGGTGAGTGACATCATCCCTGTGCTGTTCATAGCCTGAGTAGAGCTGTAGGAAGGATCCAGCAGGCCCCACCCATAACAGGCAGCCTGTAGGAAACTACAGGAGGGGGCTGAAATAAGAGCAGTCACAATAAACCGAGAGAGAGCAGCAGTGACCGGTCTGTGTTCCAGGAAGCTCCTGTACAGAAGAAACATTTCACAAGGAATGTGCATTTCACATGCTTCAGATTTGCTTATCCCTGAGTTCATGTTTAAAGTAGAACTATAGGCAAAACGTTTTTTTTTTTTTCTTCATTTTGGATAAAGTAAGGGAGAGTTATAACCCGTTAGATTTTTTCCGCCATTTGTGTCCCATTGCAGAGATTTCCTTTCATTTCCTGTCCAATAGCCAAACCGAAAATGAGAGGAAATCCCTAAAAATTAAGGGAATTCCTTTGGGAACCCCCAGGTCACTGGAGGGGGGAGAGGGGTGGTCCTTTCCTGTCCTGTCCTTTCCCTTCCCGTCCTTTCCCTTCCTTTCCCTTCCCTTTCCTGTCCAATAGCCAAACCGAAAATGAGAGGAAATCCCTGCAAATTAAGGGAATTCCTTTGGGAACCCCCAGGTCACTGGGGGGGGAGAGGGGTGGTCCTTTCCCTTCCCCCGTCCTTTCCCTTCCCGTCCTTTCCCTTCCCGTCCTTTCCCTTCCCGTCCTTTCCCTTCCCGTCCTTTCCCTTCCCGTCCTTTCCCTTCCCGTCCTTTCCCTTCCCGTCCTTTCCCCCGTCCCTTCCCGTCCTTTCCCTTTCCCTCCCGTCCCTTTCCCCTTCCCTCCCTTCCCGTCCCTTCCCTTTCCCTTCCCGTCCCTTCCCGTTTCCCGTCCCTTCCCGTCCCTTCCCTTCCCTTCCCCTTCCCTTCCCTTCCCTTCCTTTCCCTTCCCGTCCCCTTCCTTTCCCTTCCCTTCCCTTCCTTTCCTTCCCTTCCCTTCCTTTCCCTTCCCGTCCCTTCCTTTCCCGTCCCTTCCCGTTCCCTTCCCGTCCCTTCCTTTCCTTCCCGTCCCTTCCTTTCCCTTCCTTTTTCCCTTCCCTTTCCCTTCCCTTCCTTTCCCTTCCCTTCCCTTCCTTTCCCTTCCCTTCCTTTCCCCCGTCCCTTCCCTTTTTCCCTTCCCTCCCTTCCTTTTTCCCTTCCCTTTTTCCCTTCCTTTCCCTTTTCCCTTCCTTTCCTTTCCCTTCCCTTCCTTTCCCTTCCCTTCCTTTCCCTTCCCTTCCTTTCCCTTCCTTTCCCTTCCTTCCCTCCCTCTCTTCAATCAGTTATCAGAGCTCCCTTAATGAAATGTAACTTCAGCTCCCCGCCTCCTTCCCATTGCTGAGATCCTGTGTAAATTCTGCACTTTGGATGTAAAGTAAAGACAGCTGAAGATAAACAGGTACAACTTCTGTAGGAGGATTTGTTTCATCTCTGTGTATCACTTAAAGCTAGTCACTTCACGGGGTATATGTAAAGACCTTTTTCCCCCTTTTTTTTTTCTTCTCACAGATTTATCATGGTACCAAGTGGAAATTTGGGAGTGTTTGATCCAACAGAGATCCACAATCGAGGACAGTTAAAGTCTCACATGAAGGAGGCTATGATCAAGTTAGGATTCCATCTACTGTGTTTCTTCATTTACTTATACAGGTGAATTCCATCACTTGGCAGTCACACTCCTTTTCATTAATTCTGAGTGCCAGAGTGTGTTGTCATTTAATTCACAGAAACTTTAGGAAAGCGGAAAGTCTACTTTTTCTTCTTCGTTTTTGGCTTTCAGCGCTCTCACATTTTTAATGCCAATTATTCAGGCATGCGACACTATCCAAATTAAATTTTTTTTTTTTTTTTTTTTTTTTTTTTAAGACAGATGGAGCTTTCTTTTGATGGTGTTTGATAACCACTGGGTTTTGTTTATTGCTATATAAATTAAAAAATGCATTTTTTTTCTTATAACATTTAGCAAAAAAAAAAAAAAAAAAAAAAACATATATATAAATTTTTTTTTTTTTTGCACTGAGATTGCTTTTATAGTCATGCTGGCTGTAAAAGCAATCATTTTGTCACTCTCTCTGGCTGCATTTCTGCAGCCATTGAGAAATACTGTGAGATGTGTGATTGGTTACAAATTATCACTTGGTACAAGGTTGCTGTGAATGGGCCTTGTACCATGTGATCTCTGTGATCAATCACAGAACTCAGTGTAGTAAACCATGATGCCAGGAATGGCATCTTGTTTACTACTGTGCATGTGATCGCTGATTGGCCAGTCAGCGATTTTACATGGTACTGGGGCTGCCCACGGTGGCCTGGTACACTGATCCGTGTTCCACTGTGTCCTGAGGACGCAGCAGGCACAGATGTCACTGTACAGAGAGATTAAAGAGTAAAGATAAATACATGCAACTAGATGTGCATGGGCCAAAGAACTTTGAAATCTGAAACATAATCTGCAAGATTCTCTACTTCTGGCAGAATAGAGTTCAGCTGGCTGCCTCCCTCACCATGCTTTTGCCTGTTTCTAGGATGGATGGCCTCACTGGCCAGTAAAAGGCGATGGAGGAACGTTTTGCAAGTTTTGAACACTAAAGTGTTAAAGTATATGTAAACCTTTGCCTTGTAAAATAACCCATTCGGTTTAAAATTGAAGTGAAAGGCAAAACATTTCTGTATACATTAAAGAAAAAAAAAAAAAAAAACAACTTTTAAACACTGAGAACTGACCACGCTGTTCTCTTGCTTAGGGTGGACAGTTTTTAATAGTAAAGCAGAGGGACTGGCAGGAACACCAGGGATTTCACACTATAGCAGCAATACAAAGAGCACAGGATACTTTCATACAAGTACATGGTATCAGGAATGTGAAATGTTGGATTTACATACATCTTAAATCTTAGCATTCAGCACACCAAAGGTTTCAGAGGTCTCCAGATGCACATGAGGAGGGCTGCAGGCATATGCCTGTGTGATTTACATTCACCTAGTCTCCACTTAGAAGATGGAGAACGAGAGGTTGTGCAGGGACTAGAGCAGTCACAAAAACTGTATTAATGTGTGTTCAATTCAGCACAGCCTATTTTAGAAAAAAATAATTTCCCACTATATTGCCTGTGATATGTAATGTAGAAGCATGAGCTGGGTCGTGGGGAATGTACTAAATCCTCTGTATTTGTATTTGCAGTATGATTTTTGCCCTGTTAAACAACTGAGGCTTGTCGGGAGCCAAAGAACAGGATGGGAGCCTTAACCTGCTTCATGAGAGGAGAGCCACCAGGAACAATGCAAACCAATATCGCACTGCTACACACAAAGTATTTTTCTTTTCCTATTTGAACTCCATATTTTTTTGCTGTATTTTTAACATAAAATATTTAAATAGAAAAAAAATTCCAATCACTTGTGTTTAATTTTTTTTTTTTTTAAACACAGAGGGACACTATGGTTCTTGTCTTACTAAGGATTCTGGGACTCTGCAGAACTACTGCTGTGCCAATTGACCAAAACGATATTTCCATCTAGTGGTTTTGATAATATAAATTTATAAAAATGTGAACATTTTGGTAGATTTTCAAAAGAGGTTATATTTCAAGCTAAAGTGGCATAGTAAGGATTGATATTTTGAGATGTAGCGGATTTCCTGTTTGCACAATGACCAGTTATTGTCTTGCCTCCAGTTCCAGCAATACAGCACAGTGACATACATGTCACATTTATCTTGTGTAAAGGTGTCGGGACGTTTACATATATACATGCATTATTAAAGTGGACCTCTACTGAAGTACTGTGTTACGTAGGGTGTGAGAGAAGGGCTGAAATACTAACCGTTCATATGGAGCCTTTCGGAACTTGTTCCTCTTTCAGCCCACATCATGTGAACAAGAATCTGAGTCTTGCTGTGTGTGTCTGGCACAGAAGGGAGCTGGAATAGCATTTTCTCCAGTAATAATGGTCTCGCACCTTCTCCTACTTTATCTGTCCCAGCAGGGCTATTAACATCATTTTTTCAAGGATTAGAAAGATACTTTAATAGCACATACATTTTTTTTGGGTGGAGGTGACTCTAAGTCCTCATGCACACTGGATGTTTTTACAGCGGCTGTTTTTGGCTTTTGATGCTTTTTTTTTCTACAGCTAGTAACCCCCCCAGCATGTTATCCTATGTGCCCATACACACAAACTGTAATCAGTGTTTTTTGGCTGGAAAAAAACCCCAGAACTAGTGGTTTCTAGAGGAGTTTTTTTAGCTTTAAAAATGCTCTAACGCTGAAAAATGCAGCAAACCGGCATATTTGGATGATTTTGTTAACAAAAAAATATTTTATTTTGTTAAAAAAAAAAAAAAGCTAAAAACCCCGCTAAACGCTAATGCAAAAACACTAAAAAATTCACATTTTTACCATGATTTTACATAGCTGAATAGCTAACATTACCAGCGTTATTAAAAAGCTCCGTGTGCATGGAGCCTTATAGTGATATTAAGGCTTGTTCTTTAAAAAGAAAAAAAAAACGTTATGCTTACCTTCTCTTTGCATTGGTTTTTGCAGAGCAGCCCCAATCCCCCACTGGTGCGCCTGGCTCCTCCCCCGACCAGTGCCCCCAATAGCAAGCCACTTCCTATAGGAGCACTTGTGCTTGCTCGCTCCCGAGCCCCGCTCTATAAGACACGTAGAGCCGCAGCCTGCTCTCTCATCACTGGCTGTGAATGACAGCAGTGGGAGCCAATGAGGAAAGAGAGAGACCCAGGAGAACCACGGCTCGTGTGCACATCGCTGGATTGGATGGGGCTCAGGTAAGTATTGGGGGGGGGGGGGGGGTGCATGAAAGTAAGAAAAAATCTTCAGCCTTTACAACCACTTTAATCTCAGAATTTAGGCTTGATTTTAAGCAATTTTTCTTTTCTTTTCTTTTTTGGACAAGAATGGGCTTGTGATGTCAAGGGAGAGGCATCCTTTTACTTTCCCATTCTTGTGACAATATCCACAAGACAGGAAGCAAGGGGACTTCTCTTTAAACCAGCCATAAACACTTATTTTTCCTTTTTTCCATGACCTGAGTGGAGACTCTGTTCTCAGCTGCATAGAGAGGTTAGGGTGGAGATACAGCAGTACACTGGTCTTCCCAGTGACTGGCTATTTGGGTGTGTGTCAGGATAAGTCTGATCATTGGAGGATAGAAGGCTTAGTTCCAAGCACAGCTAGAGAACTGACCACGGTGTGTTTTCCTGCTCAATGTGATGAGTTTTCAAGAAAGCAGAGGGACTGGCAGGAACACCAGGGATTTCACACACAGGAAGCAATACAAAGAGAACAGGATACTTTTTCATACAAGTACATGGTATAGCAAGCACATATCAGGAATATGAAATGTTGGGTTTACTTATAAGTTTTATGGTTTGAGCATTGTTACTGTAAATAAAGGTGCCATATTGTCAATGCAATACAGTACTGCTGCCCTACGTGTACCTGTCATATAGCATTTTCTGCTATAGTGGACCAATATAAAAGAGGACTCCCTTGATTGGATGGGAGGCCCACTTTTAATCCTACTGTTTTGGATGTGAGGTAGAAATATATATTTTTGCGTTGATGGCTGTTCAGTGGGATATTTGTAATACACAGTTGAATAAGAATAATCTGCAGTTTGGACCTTTTTAAATGTCTTTTCATGTTTCCCATTAAACTCAATCTGCCTATGATGCAGAACCTGCTTTTCAGACACTTGTGCTGGTTGTGAGATCAATTTTATCGTTTGCAAAACCATGCTGAAGCATACGCAAGTGTCAGACTCAGAAACATATCAACCCCTGAAATCTCTTGCATTGAAGATGCAGTTACATTGCAATCCCACTGCCTTTGAATACAACAGGGGGGTTACTAACTAGGATTGGTAATAAACCCAAAAAGAAATGTATTAAATTTCAGCTTACTATCTTAGATGGGGTGCCTGTATTAGTTATTTTTATTTTTTTTTTTTTTTCCCACGTGGTGCTACAGCCAGTAATTATTTTTCAACTTACTTTAACAAACCAAGCTGTGCAAAGTAATAGTTGTGCTGACAATCCACTTTTATTCATTTATGTAAAACTTTTATAGTTACAGCAGTTTTTTTTTTTTTTTTTTCCCCTTTTGAGATAATGTGTTATCTGGAGTTCAGCTTCAATTCATTAGTCAAGTCCATATAAAACCAGTCATAGATCAATTTTCTTTCCTGCAACCCAGTGGAAAAAGGAAAAGAAAAAAAAAATTGCTTAATATTCCCCATCAACCTAGTCAGTGGTGATGCGGTGGAATCCCTCCCAGGGAGAACACAGTGATTACTGCTAGCGGCTATAATAGCCGCTAGCACTAATCGCATGTACATCAGACCGGCTAGTTGTATGCAAATTGACCAATCAACTTAGGTACATTCGGCCTGTGTGTACATGGTTCGAATCTTGGCCGGTCCCTTATGAGACAGCGGAGATTTGAACCCACTATGGCTGCCTTTAATCTGCTAGAGCATCTAACTCTGCTGTCCAAAATGCAGACAGGAAGCGTGTTACTGACCAAATCACCAGGTGTAATGTAGGTGGGGGGGAGCCTTAAAAAAAAAAAAAAACAAAATGCAGCCACAGTCTCCAAGTATTGGTAAGCTGCAATATGTTACATTGTAATACTGCTTCAATGTGCTTGGGTGTATTTATGCCCCATTTCCACTGGTTTTTGCAGTGGAAGGGGTTAATACTGAGGGCTGAAGTCAGCTGCTGGGTGTTGTGCCAGCGTTCACTTTCCCAACATTCAGCAGCATTAAGGAGACATTTTCCCTTCTGTTGCTCCAGTTTGCAAAGTGGAATGTAGAAATTCGATCCATTCCTGCTGCACACATAGTGACTATGGTCATCTCTTGGCATTCAATCCTCACCTACCAACACTATGAAGCCTTACTGCGAAGCATACATCTGTTCCTATAGATATACATTGCTTCAGTCTGCATCCATCTGAAAATTGACAGGTTACCACTGAACACTTGTGTGAAAGGGTGAGCCCCAAGGATGACGACATTTCCTGAAACAATTGGTGCCATTGACGGTACGCTGCAGCCACCTCAGAAGGGGCAGCTAAAGTACATATGAAGCACTTGTCACTGGAACAGGCATCTTTATTGGAAGTCACCTGTTATGGTGACAGCTGGAACAAAAAAATTTAGTTTTTTTAAATGGCTGCCAGCATTTAGAGGGCAATTCCTTCCTGCAGATACACAGACCGCAATAAAAACATGACAAGGGGATCTGACCTCTCCACTCTATTCAAAACTAAAAAATTATGAAGTTTGTGTTTTAGGTTTACTTTACACTAAAGGCCATTAATGTCATTACTTTGTAGAGAAGTTAGACATCACGAGCTAAATGGCAATCTTGTTTAGATACTCTGCAGGTATTAAAATCAGAGCCAGCCACAAACCTGGCATTCAGGAGATCTGCAATAGCAGCCTACATCAATCCCTCAGTTAAGGCATTCTTTAAATGACAGCAATAATAAACCCAAAACATAAAAATACATTGTAACTTACTAATCAAAACATGTGGTGGCTTTATTATTATTTACATTTTTTTCTATTTTAGGCTTTTTCCGTTTTCATCTGGTGATCTGGCCAGTAAGAGATCTCCTGTATTAGAGTGCTCCCAATCTGGATGAAGGAGCACAGGGGGCAGATGTGGAAAGCAGCATAGTCAGTCTGCAGGAATGGAAGTGTTAGAAGTACTAGCAGATTTAAATGCACTAACAAATTGAAGCTGAACTCCAGCAAATACTTTATCCCAAAAGGAAAAATCAGCTGTAACAGATTATAAAGGTTTTACATAAATAAAGCTGATCGTTTTAAGCACCCCTGCCAGTTGTAAATGGTCTCTCCCTTCCCTCTAACTGCAAGAGAGCTTTTCAGTTAAAGAACAGAATTACTGGCTGGATCACCAGATGAAAATAGAAGAAAGCAAGCCTAAAAAGAACTAATGCAGCCATCACATCTAAGAATTGGTAAGCTGCAATATAACAAATGTTTGCTTTGGGTTTAATGCTGCTTTAAGACTCTCCTGCTTTCACATGCTCAAAGCCCAGGCACCCTGCATACGTAATACAATCGGTCTCCATGCAACAGACAGACACTTGCAGAGCAAATAAATACACTTCTAGTCCAGTTATTCGTTCTGTTTATTGACTGAAATTAAGGGAAT